AATTGTTTCTCTAGATTTAAGACTTAAATTGTACAACATATGTCATTTGATAATTATTTCTTGCCTCGTTATATCCAACTCATAAAAAGTACTGGAATTACACCTTAGAGACATGTAGAATATTGACAACCATCTTGATATTCTTAACATAGAAATGGGCAAAATACCTTCCTTTTAAATATGACTCCTCTCTTAATTGGTGATTCCAGTCTACTTTTACATTTTTAAAACTCTAATCTTAGTTTTTCCTTATATGTCAGCGCTCACTAAAAACTTTCATTAGTGATCTTTGTAGAGGGACTGTGAAGTTTGGAACACTGTTCTTGTATTCAAAGTTAAATTTCAGAGTTGCTTTAGGTCATTTTTGGGCTAATATTTTATTTGCTAGGATTATTCATATAGTTATATAAAGGATTTCTGTTTTTACTTTCAGTCATTTTAGGGAATTCCAGACTAGCAATAATATCTCTCAAGAATAAGGTAGTATGGCCTTGACTTTCTAAGGTAGTTTTTAATTATCTAGGATAGCTAGGTTATTGATTTATCAACTGATGTACACCGTGCTTATATGTATTTAAGAGTCATCCACATTCATTGGTAGAAATTGTTTAATTTTCTCCACTAGTAATGACATGTCCATTAAATATGTAAATGAATAGATAAATCCAAGGGTGCATGATTCCTTTTATAACATTACAATTTTTTTTTCTGTGAAGTGTAACATAGAGTTAAATGCATAAATCATAAGTAATTTAATTTCACATAGTGAACACATCTGTATTAAGAACTAAATAAAACATTACCTGCACCCCAGAGACCCATATAATTTCCTCTTAAAACATAATTAAGATATTTTCTCTAAGCCATCAACACTGAAAATACTTGAAATGAGCTATTACTAATTTTTTGAAAGGAGAGTGAACATATAATTGTATCTATTAATTTATATTAGTAGCACTTAGCTCAGTAACTGTTTAATAATGCTTCTTAATAAGTTTCTTGAATTTGTTGAATTTTTAGACTTATATTACTCAGGATTAATTTTTTAATATTCCCATATTTAAAAAGTGAAGTTTAAAAATGTTTTCAAGAGGTAGCTTTCATCTGAAATTTTTATTGAGGTACTTAATAAAATAAAGTAACTTAAGATTTGTATTACTTAAATGCTGTCTTGGAAAGCATTATTATTTTATATATAAAGGAAAGGATATTTTTTGTCATATCTACAGATATTCTTCCAATTGCATTCCCAGGTATTCTTTCTGGTTTTTAAAATTATTAAAATAGATAGGCCATTCATTCCCTTTGCTAAGTGTGCACTATTAGTAAAATTTTATGTGCTCCGTCATCAATTTGATATGATAAAGCAATGGTTTTTCTGTATTTCACACAGCACCAGTCTCTGCAAAGCATCTCTGGGGGTTCTTTGATGTCTAGACAGTTTAAATTATGCCTGCTCCCCTGCCTCCAAATTCCACCCCGGTTCTGCTTCAGGGGTTGTGGGAAATGAAAACAAACCAGAAGGGCTCCATAATGCTACAGTCCATGGAGAAAAGCAAACACGTGGAATAAGCTGTATATCTGCCCTGGCAGGTGTACAGGAAAGGGCCCAGTGACAGGGAATGGCAGGAAGAAAGGAATTAGGGACATTGTCCTACTTACATATTTCTAATTATATTCCTGATACGGGATGCGTGTGCAGTGTGGACGGAATGAAAATGTTATAGAAGCATCAGGGGAGGAAGCAGAAGCCCCTTCCACCCGGCCCTCGGCGCTGTCCTCCCCGCCAGCAGCCAGATCTGAATGGCTTGTTCCTTGTACATAGTCCTGTTATCGAAATGGTAAGATGCAAAATTGAATTTTAAGTTGGAAAACTAACTTTTTTTCCCTCTTTTTTTCCTTTGTTTTCCTTTCATAAATCGGGATGATTCTTCCAATTCACCTTTTTAGAAAGTAAGTAACTTTTTTGAAATTTCAGAGATTTTTTGTTAAATTATTGATGTTTTATTATTTCATATACACATATACAGATTATATTACAGAATTTTTAACTTTTAAATTCTGACTGAGGTGATTAACCCTTACATTTAGTGTGAATAAAAATTTTTAATTAAAAATAGGAAATGTTACATAAAAGTGTTCATGCTAAGAATACAGACTTTTAACACATCTTTTATACCCACAGTAAATCACTGTAATATATATATACATATGAAATGTTTTTAAAATATATGTATATATTCTTTAAAGTGGGCCAAGGCATGCTTGCTAGCTCTGTTTTTTCCGAATATAAAAATATATAAATAATACTTTTATTTATTCCTGTTCAGTTGGAGTTAAGACATTCATTTCTTCAGGAAAAGCAGTCCGAATTTTCTGGATTTTATAGAATCGTTGAGAATAAAAGCAATAAGTAAAGGGTATGAAAGATTTTTAAAACACACTCTCATATATATTCTGCATTCGATGAAACAGTTACCTTGTAATAAGCACTTAACTCTTCTGATGCTGTTTTATTGTTTATAAATAAAACAAATCATATCATTAGATTTTTTTTCTGTAAAGAATTGCAAGTGACACACTTAAGACTAAGTGACTAATCAGCCAGTGATTTGAGTTGTAAAATTTGCCTTTGATTGTGAAGTATTTTCTAATTCTTCTAAAAGGCTAATGTACAGTTTTGAAATAAAACCAATTTCACATGTTTGTTTTAGGAAAGATTTGGGAAAAATTACAGTAGTCATCAAGACTTTTGGAGATATATTGCCATGTGATTGTGAATTGCATATTTTTAAATATCTCTGTAGTGAATCTTGAGTTTACTGAGTTAATAAACAGTATAATTAAATAACATATTCATGCTCAACAGAGCTTTTTATTTATCTAAAACTGGGTGCTTATCACTTATGTTTGCAACAAGCATAGCATTAAACCGCTATTTAATAGTCAATTTATCTTCAATTATCTTTTGTTTACTGTACCTTAGAAAAATTTAAAATTATAGTGATGTTAAATTATATTTGTTTAGTATTTTTTTTAGCTATCTTTACACAGTATTATTCTTTAATATTCTAAATCTGAGTTCTTGGAATTGTGTGTACTAGGACCTTAGGGAAAAAGAGCAGGAAGAATATGTGTGAGGGTTGATGTGAGGTGGACAATTTTATTAAGTTATATTTTTTAAAAGTCTACATTGTATCATTTTTATGTATTGGATTCTATTTTACTTGTAGTGTTAACATCCCCTTGCCAACTCCCTACAGAAAATCTGTGTTTCTGACAGTTTCACTAAATTAAACCTCCTCAAATCTGGCAGAATAATTCCCAGCTTCAAATTGTCTGTGCTTTTGCCTGAAGAGAAGAATGATAAAAAATATGTATTGTGAAGTCTTCAGTACAACATGCATAGCATCATTTATCTGGAATTTATTCATGGACAGATATTTCTGGGCAGATGAATATATTTTACTTTATAAAGTATGCCTGGCCTACTTTAAATACGAACAAAAATCTTTTGTAAGGGGAATGAGGCTGTAAGCTTGTAGCAGTTTCATGAGGAAAGATATTACACAAACACACAGTATTATAACCATGTGTACTTTAGTGTTATAGCCGCATTGTTCTCCGACCAGATTTATATTAGGGCCCTTGCTTCCTGTCAGACCCAATGGAATCATATTGACGGGTTGGCACAGAGAGCTGCTTTCGAAAGTCATAAAGAGTGCTCTTATTATTATAATACTTATAAACCTTTATGACCATGATGTGTATATATGCTGACTTGCTATTAAGTGTGTTGTAGCAACTCAGCACATTTGGCTTTTTCATTTTACTGGTGACTTTTCGTGCTAAGTAAGAGATTTGATAACGTTGGTTTATAGGAAAAACTTTTAATTCAGTAACACAAAAATGTGTTTCCATCACAGAAATTCAAAATTTGAACCCTTCTTGTCTTAAAGGTCCTCTTGTCCCAAAATGTTTTGAATTAAATACCCCAAACCCTTAAGGGGTGAGCAGGGTGGAGTAGGGGTTCTAATCAATATTGGCTCAACCAAATATTGACCTTTTGGCATATTAAAAAGTAAAGTGTATATGGAAACATACGTAAACGAACGTAATAATCCTGGTTCTAAATTGTAGTTTGCGAAGTTATCAGTTTGCAAACAAAACACAAAATAAAGCTCTAAAGTCTAACCCAGGAAATACATATGTGTTGTACATTTCATAAACACCCTTTTATGTATGTGAGTACATTTCGGTGATGTTTGTACATACGGGCTTTGATATTTTTAATCACTAGTTTAATGCTGTTAGATTTCTTTTAAAAAAAATTGCTGATTTCATAATTCAGCCCCTTGCATCTTTCCTACAGAACATAATGATTAGCTGGGCAGAATTCCCAAGCACACATTTCTTTATTTGACAAATCTAACTGAGGAAAGGATGTTATTGTTGAAGATGTATCAGAGATATAAACACAGACATAAATTTTTATTTGGCCTTGTGAGAGATGCAATCCCATGCGTAACTTAAATGCTTGTAATTTCAAATCAGTCCTCCCCTAGTTTCTGATTCCTTTGTTGCTTTTCAACCTATGGGATGGAGCTGTCCTTGAACTTGGTTTATTTGATCATTCAAGTGCAACCATCAAGTTGTCTGTAATATTTAAATACCGAGGCTTCCTGGTATTATTTGCAAAATAACCCCACATAAACGTTTGGGCTTTGGCTTCTTTGAAATACAGTGTTGGTTGCTTTATGAATAAAAGCATAATTTCAATTCAGGAGACTTTTTTGCCCGGAGCCTATAAGACACATGCATCTGATTAACTTTGGCGAAACTGGACTGGCCTGTTATTGTAATGTAGATGTTTTCAGGGTTGGGAGGATATTTTTAAAAGGCATGCGAGAGGATTTTTTTTTTTAAGAGACGAGAGAACAGTTCTGCCACAGAAACTGCGTCCCAGACTGCTTCATTTTTTGCACACTTTTATTTTTTAGTGGAACTTCTCCTTTAGCCTGTCTGAATGCAATGCTTCACACTAACACTCGAATAGGGGATGGAACATTCTTCAAAATCCCTGGAAAGTCAGGCCTCTATGCTCTCAAAGTAAGTTGCATTTTTCTGCATATTATGCCTGTTATTACTATGTATCATGCTTTTTTTTTTCTTCTCCGAAATGTGCAGGTAAACAAAATTAGATTTGTGTAAAGGGTAGAAGAATGACCCTGATGCTGCTTAAATGTTTTCAGATGTCTTACAAATGATTTCATATTAAGGATAAACAATCACATTTTTCTTTCAGGAAAGCATATCTGTGGTTTCACTCTAACATATGGTAATGGAAAATAGTTGTGGCTTCCTTAAAATTCTTGATTCTTAAAAATTTACATGGACAAGTGCCATGGATCATCAGCCAAGAGCTTAAGATGATCACAGTTGCCACAAACTATCTAATGACCGTCGGTTGTTACATTGCTTCACACCTGATGCCTTTCTATATTTCATAAAAATAAAAAATTTCTCCATTCACCTTGAAAAGTTGCTGATTTAAATTGGTTATTTGATTTTTAAGACAAACAGTGATCTCAAGGAAGTTTTACTAACAATGCATATTTGTTATATGAGAGTAATAGAGAAATAAAACTAAAAGCTCCAGATAACTGAGTCTTAATTAGTTTAGTGCAATTCCCGTTTTCATCTAGAATGGGAAACACCATCTAAGATGAAAAATTCCAGAGGACAAAAGCTGATGGTCATGTACCTCGGGACAAGTAAAATCAGTGTATTATTTCTCATAGATTAAAAAGAAGTCACTGCTTTAATAAATGGTGGGTTAACATTTAAAGGTCATTAACTTCCTTTGAGAAGATTTTGTTTTTAATGCTAAGAGTTATACCTGGCAAAGAAACAAAGATTCTTTCTCAGCTACTAAGAATCAAGGCTCTTTTCACTGTGTGTGTTTCAGAAAATAGCACAGGTTAACCAAAGGACTTGTATTATTTTAGTTGCTTTTCGTAGCTACTGATCAAAATTCTGAGTTGTTAAACCATTTCCTAACATAAAGAAGAATGTAGGATTGAGGGAAAAAAGAAAACATATGTGAAAAGGAAAGTTAGTTTTTGTATAGATTTTAAAAGTTTATCCAAAGAATCAGCTGTGGCAATGTGCTTTTCCCAGTTTTGTTTTGTTCGTGTTTTTAAGGAGTGATTTTCCATTAAAAAGTAAATCAGGATTAAAATTTCAAATTACAAGTAAATGTGATGATACTTTAGGATTCTGAAGGAATTTTGAACGTTTTCAGTTGCTAACACATCTCCATAAATCATTTCTTAAAAACAATCCAGAAAGAGGAGTCGTCGTGCGCAGCTGGCGGGAGCCTGGATCTAGGCTGCGAGTCTGAGCTGGATGGCGCAGAGATGGCCGAGGCCGGTGCCCGCGGGGACGGCGACGGAGGTGAGCGGGATGGCTTCGGCAGGCAAACCCGTGCCCTTCAAAGTTACGTAGGATTTCAGTAACTCACGAACTGAATTCCCTACCGCTATAGGCACAATTTTCTGCTAAGTTTTAACCACCTACTTAGATGCATCATCAAACAATTTTGATTCAAAAGGTTGGTACCTAAGAAAAGTAAACAGTTTTTCGCTTTTCGTTTTCAACTGTATAAATTCCCCTGGATAATCTTGAGCATTTTCAGGAGATTTCTCTTGCAAGGTGAGGGGGTTGCCAGAGGGTTTCCAGTGGTTTTATTCTTACATGAGACTTGAGAACGCTGGTGTTTTATGTGTGATTATGCTGATATTTCCTATTGTGATTATAATAGTTTTATAATAGCTTTGTTCCTAGGTTTGTCCATAGTAAATTAAGCTTAGTGTTAACATTCTTCACAGTGAAACAAGGGCCAAATAAGTTATATTTTTGTGAAACACTTTAGAAAAGTAAGCAACCTGGCTAAGGGGGCATTTTCCACCTCCGAATTCTATCCGTGTTAATTCCTTNGGTTATATTTTTGTGAAACACTTTAGAAAAGGTAAGCAACCCGGCTAAGGGGGCATTTTCCACCTCCGAATTCTATCCGTGTTAATTCCTTTTTACCTTCCTCTAGACACCTGCATCATGGCTCTGTTGTGTATTGCAGTTGTGGCAAAGTTTTGTTCTGCAAAAGCTGCTGGACTTTATTTTCCACTCTACCCATTGGTCCCACAGGTGGACCCCGATCATGATTTGGGAAGAAGATTGTGTCATTAAAGTAGTCTGTCTGTGGACTCATAGAAATCAGTAAATTATCTGTAAACAAACACACCTGAAAGGATCCTTGCAGAAACATCCTATTTCACTAATAGCCCAAAGCCATTTATTTTATTAATGGCCACAGGAGTCCCCTTGTGCTCTGTTCACGGCGGTGCTTTAAGCTGGTGTGCTTTCTGTTGGTCCCCCTGAGAATGATTCTGCCTCAGCGCCTATCTGATCTGCAGCAGAGATTGCGAAGTAATGTAGGAAACACAGGTTCTTGTCTTAGTAAAATAGCTGAAGTAAGCCTTGTGGACTTTTTAAAAACTCAACTTTCATTGAATTTGATGTCCCTAATCCTATACCTTTTGAAAACTCAACCCTCCACCATTGTAATTGTGCTGTGAGCTTTGGCAGGCCTTCCTGGTTAGCAGAACAAAGCAGCGATGCGTGGCAGCTTCTGGCTTACTGGAAGGACTGGTGAATGTGGCAGACTACTCCTTCAGCAGAATAAAGGGCAATCTTACTGGGTCATTCCTCCACTTATACTCCCTATTTGCATGAGCACTCGTATGCTGTCTCTCTCAACATATATGTTGAGCTTTTACTGCATGCCAAGTACTGTGCTTGACCTTGCAGTCACAACAGTGAAAATCCGGAACAAAAACAGACCTCTCATGGATGTGATGTTGGCGAAGAGATAGACAGTAGTCAGACAGATATGTAAAATTTATAGTTTAATTCAGTGCTGACAAGTGATATTGGGCAAAATAAATTAAATAAGGAAATAAAAGTGGGAGAGAGGGGTACATTTGAGAAAAGACTCAAAGGGAGCGAGGGAGAAGATATTTTAATGGGAGAGAGTTTTAGGTAGAAGAAGCGGCAATTATAAAAGTCTTGGGACAGGAGAGTGTCTAGAATGTTCCAGAAACATCAAGAGGCCAGTGTGGTTGGGAGCCAGAGAGAGTAAGGGGGAGAAGATGGTAATATATGAAGTAAGAGAAGTTACAGGACCAGATTATATAGTGCCTTGATGTTGGCTTCTGCTTTGGGTGAGATGTTAAACCATTGTAGAGATGTGAGAGAAAAGAAAATGATCTCACTTGGGATCACTAAGTACAATATATATAGATACAAGAATATATATATCAGTCTGTCTTCATATAGTATATATGAACAAGGGAAAAACAGGGAGACTGGTTCGAAAGCTATTGTCATAATTTAGAGAAGAGGAGATGGTTTTTTGAATAAGAGATGGCAGTGGATGTGATAAGGGATTGGATTCTGGGCATATATGAAGGTAGTTCCAATAGGAGCTGCTGAAATAAGTGCAGTTATGAAATAAAGAAGCGTTAGAGATGACTCCAAAGGTTGGGTGTGAACCAATAGAAGAAGAGCATTGCCTTTAATGTGATGGCAAGAATGCAAAAGAATCAGTTTGGAGCAGGGGTTATTGATCAGGAGCTAGTTTGGGACATATTAAGTATGAGATTCATTTTCAACCATCAGGTTGATATGTTCAACAATTGGATCGTCTGTCTTAAATTCACACGGAAAAACCTTGCTGGAGATGTACATTTGAAAATGGTCAGTTTATAGATGAAATGAGATCACCAAGAAACTGAAGGTAAATTGGAAAGAGAAGAGGCCCAAAGACTAAGCTCAGGGGTACTTGAATTTTAAGAAGTTGAGGGATTATAGGAACCAGCAAATGAGACTGAGGATAAATGGACAGGAGAATTTGTCTGTTCTGGAAACCAAGCGAAGAAAGTCTTTCTGGGGAGTAACCGACTCAAATGTATCAAATGTTTTTGATATGTCAACTTACAGTGAAGACTTAGAAATAGCTATTGGGTCTAGCTTTGGGAAGCTATTGATGAACTTGGCAAGGACAATTTTTGTTGACCTGAACAGAGTGGGCTCAAGAGAATGGGAGAACAGAAATTGGTGACCCCAAGTGTGGACAGTTCTTTCAAGGATTTCTGAAGTAAAGGGAAGGAGGGAAGTGGGGAAAATGGCTAGAAGGGAAAGTGGAACAAAGAGAAACTTTTAAAAAAATAACGAGAGGGAAATATTAAAATAATTGTGTACTGATGGAAAAATGCAGGTGAGGAGGAGAATTTGACAGTGGGGAGGGTATCCTATTGGCATGTGCTTGCTTAGATGAGAGGGAATGGGATCTTTTAAAAAGATGAAGAGCCAGGCCTTAGTAGTATGGAGAAGATCTCTAAAGAAGCAGAGGGAAAGTCAGGGTGTTTGGCTGGAAATAAAGGTCGGTGGGTACCTGTGGGAGAGGGGCTTATAGAAGTTTGCTTCTTACTGCTTCATTTTTCTCAGTGAAATAGGAAACATCCATCAGCTGAGGGTGAGGATAGGAAAGAGTTTTATAGACTTAAGAAGATATGAAATGTTTGCCTAGAGTCTGACGTCATTAAGGGCACTCATAAGGTTGCTAATCCTGAATTGAATGCGACCAGTCAGCATGGTTGTACATTTTTCTCCTGTCATGTTCATGACCACTGTACACGTACAGAGTTGGACTTGACTAGAGTTGGGATTTTGCCAGGCGTCAATGATGGAAAGAGCGAGGGGCGAGGGAGCTGCAGGTGCATGAAATAGAGTCAAGATCCATCTCCATGGATTTTAAGCGGGTCGTCGAGGTGCGTGAAGACACCATGTGTGAGGATGGTGTGAGGGAGGAGGTCTCTTTGGGGTAGGATTGTTTGATTTGGTGTTCTAGAGACAGTGAGTTAAAAGAGGTGATGTGAGAGTGGAATGTATTCAGTCGAGTTTAGGGTAACGTTGTGGAATATGTGTCTAAAATGAGAGACGGTGGAGGCTCGGCTTAAGGCTGTCCTGAGTGGTTAGGCAGTGTGTGCACTCACTTTTCAGAGTGGCCTGGCTGAGGGGGGCCATCCATGGCGGAAAGTCAGCAGCCCCCCATCTCCTCACCGTAGTGTCATGGGATGGAACAGGGCCTGCTGGTAGGAAACACTGCTTTTTCTTATTTGCACGAAGATGTTGTCCTGTCATACAGCATTACAGAATCATCTGTGTGGACTTTGAAACAGACAATTGTGATAGAACTAGCATTGCAAGGGTATGACATTTAAGAGCTAAAATCTTCATAAACTGAAGGGGAGTAATTCAGATGTTAGTTGGGAGATGAGTGCAGTAAGGAGGAGGAGTTGGTACCATAGTTTGAGGACATGAGGTACAAGGCTAGAGGCACCTAAGCAGCAGGGAGTGGGGTGGGGAAGAGATGTCACCTGGCCCGTTCCCAGCCCAGTGGAACAAGATGTGTGGAAAAGAGAAGGGCTGTTACCTGAGAGGGTAGAAGGGGAAGAAGCGTTCCTAAGAGAGAGCCAGGTTTTGTAGATTAAGATACAAAGGGAGTGTTCAGAGAGAAGATGGAGATTATAGGAGGTTTTGCTAATTACTAATCCTGAATTTCAGAGGAAACAGTGGGAGGATTTTTGTGGCTGGGAAGGGGTCGGGGAGAGGGTGAGAGCACTCAGCCAATAATTAAACCAAAGCATGATAAACAAACTCCCCCTAATTGGAAATGTGAATAGGTACTTCACAAAATAACACATCCCCACGCATCTCCAGCTAACGTGACCAAAACTAGATTTTTCTGGCCTCTCCTTTGAAACTACATTAGGGAAATTGCTTTGGGGAATCACTGAAAGAATAGAAAATAGCTGATTTCCTTGCATGTTCCTTGATATGCCCACTTTTGCATCTTATTGCAAACCACAATTGCTTCTTGTAGGACAAGTATATTTTTTTAATCCCTGTAAATATGATATATGTATAGTCCATTAACCTGGCCTTAGGATTCATTTTCAAACCTAGATACTGAAAATATATTGAGTGCTTATAATGCCCAGCCTTTGTAAGCTCTTTCCATGTATATTGTTTCATCCTCAGAACATTCCTGTGAGATAGTCACTCCTAGGCCCTGTTATGTTATTTTATTAGCAGTGAGAAAACAAGTTTAGAGAGGTTAAATGTCTCATCCAAGTGGCAAGCCCAGGTAGGTGTGTGACACCGAAAATCTGCTGGAACCACAGCGAACACTGTTAGCCAGGAGTCTTGGTGCAGTTTGCCTTTACAACATTCGTCCGGATCTGTTCTGATTATAAACTTGAGAATCTGACAAAGAGGAACCTGTGGCTTATCCAAATGAAGAAGAGGGATACCACATGATTTCTTACAAATTG